TATAGGAAAAATCTTCTTCTCAAGAACCACTGGGCCAGAAAAGCTGAAACTTAATGGAAGGGAATCAAAGTTTTACAGTTTTTGAAATATATATGAAAAATCTTTGAAAATCTTCTTCTCAAGAACCACTGGGCCAGAAAAGCTGAAACTTATGTGGAAGCATTCTGGGTTGTGTAGATTCTAAATTGTTCAAATCATGACCACTGGGGGAAGGGCAGGGCCACAATGGGGAGTCAAAGTTTTACATAGAAATATATATGAAAAATCTTTGAAAATCTTCTTCTCAAGAACCACTGGGCCAGAAAAGCTGAAACTTATGTGGACATGGAAGGATCCTGGGGTAGTGTAGATTACAAAATGTCTTAATTATGATCAGTGTGGTAGGGTGGGGATGCATGATGTATTATAAGGAGGAAATCTGGTAAAGAACATAATGGTGAAAGCTTCTCAGGTGAGCGATGTGGCCCATGGGCCTCTTGTTGTTTTGCTCACGTGACCGCCTATATCACGTGATCCGCGCAAGAGCAGAATGGTTGCAAATGCGCATTAAAATCAGAGAGGACTACTTTGAAACATTTTCAACACTGAAACTCTATATCATTTCTTTTTTGGTAGTTATTCAATGAGTTGGCGAACTTTTTGATCACCCCTCGTAGATGTGAGGTCATATTTAGGTGATAAAATATTTCGACATAAATAACGAAATATGACGAAGGAAAAGCTGAAATCGTAATTGTAATTACTTGGCCTATTTGTCTATAGTCAGTAAAACATCTAAATACGAAGCAGATGTGATAGACACGAAATTCGAACAGTTGGAAGGCCTCGTCGAAGAATATATAAATGTTGTCATTGAGGATATATATCATTCTGTAAATATCAACTTCAGAGTACTTGTGTGGAAATTCAGAAAGATCTTCAACAAAGAAATGTTGCTTATAATGATCATAGATGATCAATCACAGTTTATTGAAATTTTTTATCTTCCATTTTTATTAAGGAAGCTGATTTCAAAAAGTCTAGTTTCTTAAACACAATTTTGCGTATAGGGATATAAAAACTGAACAGCAAATTAAGGAGCACGATTAGTGCCAGTCACAATTCCAACTGTTTGTTGGAAGGTATCGTCTCCAAATACTAGATAAATGTTGTAAAATTATTCTTAAATATCAAATTCAGAGTACTTTTGATATTTAAGAATAATTTAGATCTTCGTTAACAACATTTATCTATTTTTCGGAGACGATACCTTCAGAGTACTTGTGGTCGCCCGCATGGCGCAGTGGTTAGAGCGTCTGCTCTGGAGTCTCGAAGTAAGGGGTTAATCCTTACGTCGCGGGTTCGAATCCCATTGTGGGACGTGGAGGCCGGTCCTTCGGGTGAGACCGTATAGACCGAGGTCCCATGTCGCAGTAGGTGTTGGCATGAAAAAGATCCCTCAAAGCTCAATGGCCCTGAGTGCCGAGTATAAGACAAACTTTGTAGCTCCCTATCGGCAAGAGGTGGGGTCATATGAGTGGAAAATTCTCGAGAGGGGCGTTAAACAAAATACAATCAATCAGTCAGAGTACTTGTGTGGAGATATAGTGTAATCTTTAAGAAGAAAATTTGTCGCCCGCGTGGTGCAGTGGTAAGAGCGTCTTCTCTTCACTCGCGACGTAAGGAGTCAATCCTTACGTCGCGGGTTCGAATCCCAATGTGGGACGCGGAGACCGATCCTTTGGATGAGACCGTATAAACTGAGGTCGCAGTAGTTGCTGCTACGAAAAAGGTCCCTCCCTGCTCAATAGCCCTGATTGCCGAGCATAAGACAAAATTTGTAGCTCCCTTTCGGCAAGTGGTGACGTCTCCATTTGAGTGAGAAAAAAATCTTGAGAGGGCCGTTAAACAACATATAACAACAGCAAGGAAAGAACTTTATTCGGTAATAACCAATATTTGCCCCCCAAATCAAACTTTGATGGGGATATATTTAATTAAGTTTTTAAACAGGGGAGTATATGCTGACTTCAAAGCACTAAATATATTCATAAGTAATGACGTCATATGTACGTAATGACGTCAAAAACATGACGTAAATTTCAGTTTTTTATGAATTTTACAGAAAAATGTACATATTTCGACGATATTTTGAGTAAAAGTCACCGAGCGCATGTGTGTTCAGGATCAATATTTTGATATAATGTGTAGAATGATAATATCAATCAAATATGTCAATATTGTTCCTGAACAAACTTGCGCTCTATAAATTTTAAAGCTAAAATTGTTGAAATTTTGTCCATTTTGTCCTCTTTCTGAAAAAGGATATAAAATCGGACTAGTTTTTGACGTCATAAAAAAAAATGTGAATACACTGCTTTGAAACAATTAAATTTTTTTGTTAATTTATATTTCTCATACAATTTATTTTCTGTTCAAAATTTATATTTCAATATCATATATACAATTATAAAAATTTTTGAATTCAATTTCAGCACATCAAAATTCAGAAAAAAAATTTGAAGTAAATTTTTCAAAATTTGACATTTTTGTAGATCAGCACATATTACAATAGTTAATATTTTTGTAAAGCTAAAAGATATATGCCACGTAGATTGTAAGTATTTGTATGAGATATAGAAATTCAGTATAATCTGGGAAGATCCAACTCAATCTGGTTTACTGTTTACTGTTTACTGTTGCTGAACAAACGTATGATATAAAAATTTTTGAATTCAATTTCTGATGAGGAAGCAACTGTCTCTGATTTCAAAATTCAGAAAAAAAATTTGTCAATGTAAATTTCTAAAATCTAAAATAGATTAAGAGAATTACATCATCCTAGAATATGCTGTAGATCAGCACATATTACAATAGTTAATATTTTTGTAAAGCTAAAAGATTAGGGTTTGTTAGACCATTTGCCACGTAGATTGTAAGTATTTGTATGAGATATAGAAATTCAGTATAATCTGGGAAGATCCAACTCAATCTGGTTTACTGAAATGTTAAAATATCAATCACTGAATGTGATTTTGAAGAATTTAATCTTAAATAGTTCATAGTGAGTATAAATTGGATTTTCAGACATTGAATTAAAACCAAGTACTCTAACATTTAGTTATTATAATTGGCCTTACGAAAAAAAAACCAATATTGTTTCAAGTCTTGTCTTATCAAAATATGATGTATTGCTTATGTGCCCTCTCATTAAGTAAAAACAGAAGGATAGATGGTTCACATATTAACTTTCCTATGCAGCCCTTAACTATATTTCTAAAAAAAATAATCCATTGTGATAAAGTTTTCAGGTTTTCCTCTTCAAATATTGCTCAACGTCTGACATAGCAGGCCATTTTCGAAAGGTGATATTCTGTTGCTATTTGAGAGATAGGGACTCCCTGTAATAGGACCCTTTAAGGTAATTGCTTCTACTCCATTACTTTAAACTACAATCTATAAGGAAGAATTTTATCATTGAGATTTATGAGAGACAGCTAGATTTCGAACACATCATTTGGCGAAACCGAAACTTTAGATCATGATTTTTTTTTGATAAACATTTCATATTTAAGATAATTTTACTATAAGTTGTTTTTCTTATATCATAGGCGTTGGAAGCAAATGAAAGTTTGAGGGTGGGGGCTAATTGAAAGTAAGGGGGGGCTAAACCACCAAGAAAAAGGTAATCCCCAATTTCCAATGCCTATATAATGTCTATCTCTGCAAAAAGCGCCCCCTAGCCCCCCTCCCGGTTCTGACGCCTATGAATATAATAAATATAAAATCATAAATACAATGTATTTGAACTTGTGAACAATTAGTTTTAAACAAGTTTTAAATTATTAAGAAGAGGGCGAAAGGGGCGAAAATAAAACGAGGGCGAAAATCTCCCTATATACAGTATAACAAAGAATAAGAAATTCCATTATTTATTCGAAGCAGCTCAGATTGTTACAAAGGCATTGAAAAATAATTTCACACACATACATAAATAAAGAGGTTTTTAAAGTACATTGTAACTTAATTTACTGAAATATATGGTGATTGCAAAAAGAATTCAAGCTCAAAATTAAAGTGCATTCACACAATACAAATCAGGAACGGAGCAAACACGAACCCCTAAAACATCAGAGGTGGAATAAGATGCAAGAAACCAGATATTTTGCCGATTTTAATCAACCGTGTCCCATCAATACTCCGAATACCAGAATATTTGGTCGGTTTATATCAAACGTAACGAAGAACACCCTTCAGTAAAAAAAAATATCGTAAAGCAAAAACCTCGTTATGCCTAGGTCACATTTCCCGGCCGGTAGCCGTAGACGGGTGGTATTCGTTGGTAATCCGTGGTGTTGACGATGCCCTAACATCGGTCCACATCGGCCTAGTAGTCCTTACAGAATCAGTCACATTATCCAGTGATGGGTATTCGATGGGCAACCAATGCCTTTTATGATAAAAAATGGCGTGGTTATCGGCCGGACTTTCAAAGGCCCAGCGAAGCATTGCTAATCATAAATCGATGTTCCAGGATAATCGGTCGATGTATATTACATCGCACATACATTGGAGATCATCGTTCGAACATCGGTTGACTACGGGCCAATGTTTGGTCGAACACCGACCGATGATCGGTTGGATCTGTTGGACACCACTCAACTCCCCGATGACCTCAGATTCAACGGATATTGGACGATGCTCGGCCATACATCGGCCGATCCGTGAAAGATGTGTTAATGATGGGTTGCCGATGAGGAGCGATGTGAGGTATCGTTGGAGACATTGCTGAATTTTAACTACGAATTATTTCCTACCGATGACCCCACCGATTCGCAAAATTGCCTCAGTCACCTTCCGATCACTAGAGGTGCCCGGCCGGCAACCACGCCATTTTCATCAAAAAACGCACCGGTTTCTCATCGTATACCCCATCGCTAGATAATGTGACTGATACTTTATCAATGAAATGGCAATGCGAGTTTCCTTGCATTTTTTTTATTTTTGTGTCCTTAAATAACAACGGGTCTGACCATTTTTGAACACTAGTATTTTTTCTACAGTAATATTTTTTCAATATATACGAAGACCTCATTCTATATTTCTCTTAATGCCTGAGTTATAGCATTCCAGAACTCCTCTGGAACTTCATTATCATTCCAGATATATCTGTTCTCTGATTACGTCCTTCAAAAATTGCGGCAAGACAGCTCCAAGATCTTTGTCCACAAGAATATTGTTCAAAGTTGTCTCCCCTCCTCTATAGATACTCTCCATTCGAGCCATTTGAGCCTCATATGTACAAAATTCAGATTGTAAGAAAGCTTTACTCAGAAAACAGACAGTACGCTTGCTGTTGTGAATAGCATTGGTAATGTTTTCTGCTACGTTAACACCAATTATAAAGTCACGACTGTGTATGCAGAATTTAAAATTATTTTCTCTTTCAAGCTTCAAAAGGTTTGGTATAAACTCGGTCCTTTCACTTTCAGCGTACGAAATGAAAGCATCAAATTGATACTCTCTTCCGGAGTCTAAGACCCTTGAATATCCTCTATAACTTCTCTTACCAGCGTAATACAAGTATCGCAGTTTCCATCTATACCTATACATTATTGCAAATGATATAAGAATAATTGTGACCAGTAAAATAATGGTAACTATGACTATAGTTGTTGTAAACGACGATTAGCAATGCTAAGTGATTGTAGCTTAGGGGGTAATTGATAAAGATACAAAGGTGGTTAATCTCTATATTCCGTTTCCTCAATAGTAATTTCTTTCTCTTTGTTACAACTGTTAGAATTATAATTACAACCGAGTTTCAAACCAGCTTCCTTGTCTGTTCGGTCAATGTCGATCCTTTCTAGATTTGAAAGAAAGCCTCCTTCAAATATATATTCCCCGAAAATCAGAGGGTTATTATTTATATTGATGTAAGTCAATGACTTGGGAAGTTAGTTGATGCTCAATGATGCCAATCCTGTTATCTCCCAACGACAATTCTCCTAAAGTAGTATTCCTGAGATATTCTATATGGTTTATTCTTAATATCAGCGATAGGCCATTCTTACAATGAAGACTGTTTGCACTAAATGTTTGAATTTTGGTATATTGCAGATCATAAGTAATATTGGACAATACGGATAACGTTAGGTCTCGGTTTTCTGAAACATCTAGATATACAAGATCATGTAAGTGTCCAAAGGCTCCTTTCTCTATGTACTTGATTTCACAGTTTAATAATGTAAGTTTTTTTTCAATTGTTTGAATACATAGAACGTGTCATTCTCGATGCTTTTTAGAAAACAACGACCAAGATATAGCGAAAACATAAGAACTTCGATCGAATTATTTTTTTCAAATGCGTCCACGAAGTTATGTCCACCTAATCCATTCAGTTCGATATGCCTCAGTGACGAAAGTCCGTAAAAGCTCCCATTGGAGTACTTCATTTCCTTAAGCCTACTGTCAGGGATTTCTTCAGAACATTTATCGTTCATAAGTAAGGTATCGAGTTTTTTCAGGTTCTCAAAAAAGCATGATGGCCACTCTCTATGTTCTGCCCATAGACAATTATTTCCAATATTTAGCCATTGTAGATGCCTGTATCTTGAAAGAACAGCCTTTTTCGGATTTCGGATATTGTTATCGCTTATATCTAGCTGTACAATCTCCTGTGGCATGTCGGTAGGAATTTCTGTGAGACCATTGTTATTAAGAAAGATGCATCTAACATTCTGGTAAAATCTTGGAGAATAAGTTAGGCTTAGCGAGCTGCAATCCGCACTTAGCAGTCCTCTTTCGAAATAACATTGGCACTTTGGTTCAGAAGAGCAGCTCAATTGTAGTGTCTGCTTAAAAAAAGCCAGGAAAACAGAACAATAGAGATGCGCTGAAACTCATTTTCTTGAAGTACATTGTATAACTATCGATGCTTTGTCTACAAGGTAAATGAAGACGAACTTAGCAAATATGCACAATGCATTACATTGCTTCAGCCCCAACGTCGAAAGAAAAAGATGAAGATCCCTTGTTGGTATCACTTTGCAGCTGGTAACAGTAATTTATGTATAGAATAAAGTGAAAGAAATGTAGATTTGATGTAATTTTTTTTAAGGACATATGATGCAAACTTTATCCCGATTTTATGAAAAATACAGCTAAAATCATGTTAATATCAGTTCATTCAAGTCACAAAAATTCAAAAATTATGTCTGTTTTAACACTTTTGTTTCCCATCCAATGACTTTTTAAAATACAGCCCCCTATGACCGGGGAGAGACCTATATTTTGAGGTCAAAATGTCAAAGATCAAGGTTGTAAATTCAAACATTCTATGCGTGTTTGTGATTAACTTTAATTTCCTGCTGATATCTCAAGAGGCTTTTGAGTTTTTTCAATTAAATTTCATGCTATAACTCCCTAAGTTCCTCCCGCCTTTTATAAAGTGCTTCCGCCCCCCCCCCCCCTCCTGGGTCAGTACATTCTCTTTTTTTTCTTTCATCGTGGGACTCAGATTCTCTGACTTAGCTTGTTAATTCAAAATTATAAAATAATTTCATTTAAACTGTTAAAGGGACAAAATGTTTCATACATTTATAAGTATAATTGCAGATAGTTGGAATCATTTACATAAAAACATTAAAAATTTATACCAATTCATGCATTCATTTCTTGTTTATGCTTGCAATCTGGAAGTTCTGATTGATTCTCCCATTTTTTGTTAGAAAGTTAAAGAATCATATAGTTTTTATCATGTTCCGAATCCGTCAAAAATTGCATCAATCTGCTCAAGAATTATTTTGAAAATTCACATCGTAAATTTATTATTATTTTTTTTCGTTCAACGTGTATACATATCATAAGAATATTTTGTCAATAAAATCCGAGTTTCTATTTTATTCAAAGTTTTCATGTTTTTTCAGTAAAATATATATATATATATATATATATATATATATATATATATATATATATATATATATATATATATATATATATATATATATATATATATATATATATATATATATATATATATATATATATATATATATATATATATATATATATCATAAGATAAACAGTGAGCGTAAATAAATGAAATATGGTGATACCAAATATAATTTAAGCTCAGAAGTTAATTTAAAAAATACAAATTAGGAGTTTAGGAAATACGAACCTTTAACAGGTCGAGACCACTAGATTTTCTGATGTCAGAATAAATTTGCATGTAAATTAGCTATATGTTTACTTTACCCACTGATGAATGAATCGCAATGCATTGTGGGCTACTACAAGTACTCAGCTGTGTTGAAAATAAAGGGTAACTTAAATTGTCCCTTGGAAACTTATTTTCAATTCTTTTTTGAGATATTTTGAAGAAATATTTAAAATAATGTATAATCTTTCATTTCTATGCTCACATTTACAAAATTTGCTTTATGAAGCCTTATATCAACTTATAAAACATCGGCCTTAACCATTGTGCAAAGAGACGTAGACCTGTGCTAGCTACATGTATCGTGTCGATAAAACATTGAGTTTGTTTTCACGTGAAATACGTGTACATAGTTTTAGCAGGTAGTATATATGTCCTTGTATTTAGACAGCAGGAGAAGGTGTTTAATTATTATTTAACCCCTCAATATTATTTTATGTACATGCAGACGTCAAAGCATCTGTACGGTATTCGAAGCAACTATTAATCATCTAAAACAACTCCAATATTAAATGTGAGCATGGAGCAATGTCTTTACAATATAATCTTTCAATTTTGATCTTATAAAGTGATAAAGAAGCTCTACAGATTTTCCGGTGACGAGTTAAATAATATGTAGTAAACTGACGAAAACCACGTGTCGCCATTGAATCGTAAACACGTAGTAGAGTGTCATGCTTTGGGACTTATTCACTTGATTGGAGAAAGGTAGTAACGAAGACATCGTCACGTGTTGAAAATTCCCTTCCATATAAGGTAGTGATCTCGACCTGTTTAAAACACGAGATACAGGATCAGGTGTCATGGATAAGTAAGGATCCCCTTCCGCTGTATGCTCCTTGTCATGGAAAATCGGAAATCCGTAGAAAACTCAATGTGTAAATAATTGACCTAACAATTACCAGGTGCTATGAAATACGTTTATTAGTATTTGACTTATTCATATAATTTATTATTTATGCTCACAAAACCATCGAATTGACCATAGAACTTCCGATATGATGACTTTAAATAAGACTGTGCACATTGTTATTTTTTTTCCTTATGTTAATCAATAGCTTGATTCGTTTTATAAAAATTGTTTGTAAGTAGTGCATGATATTGCGTATCAATGCAGCTGAAAGACACCTCATATGCAGATGAAAAATTGTTTATTGCTACATAAATAAGGGAAGTTGACGACTGAAAATTTAAACCATCACGTTTATCTTAAAGCTTTGTTGTTAGGTTAGCATCTTTTTCAAGTAAAATATTCAAATATGAAGCAGATGTCTCAGACACTGAGAATCTTCAAATGTTTTCCGAAATTTTGTCAAAATTATAATTTCACCATGCTTAGTTTTGATATCTCACATCAGTTCAGCTACGATATTACTGCCTACATCAATGCATTGCTAAAAGGCTCTCTACTGCTAATGTTAAAATAAAGATTTCGATTTTCTCTGATGTGGAATTGTTACCTTCAAGAAGACTAATTTTCTTTCATAACTTTTGGCGATCGATACAAATTCAATTTTCAAGTTCACAATTTGATTATCCTTTATTTATTACATATATTTTAAAGTGTAATCCTATACTTCATCCGTTTAATGAAATTGATACTTTCAATGGCATATTTTCATAGCCAAAATAACGAGAGTATTATTTTTGCAACTAATATCTCAAAATTTGTAGCAAAACACCCCTTACCCGTCAATAGATAAGATAAAGAAATACCATTTTATAGGCAGCAACATCGAGCAGACCGCCCTAACATTAAACCTTACTGCAAAACTTCCGATATTACGAATATCGAATAATATAATAAAAATATTACGAAATCGTAAGTTTTCTTTGATGCTGAGTTATACAACTTTGTATAATTGTCTCTGTAATTCTAAATTATAGCACACATTTATAATATTTTCATAAAATCTGACAAAATTCTCACACTCCCAATTTACTTGGCAAACATTTTTAAAGTTGCATATTTGGGTATAAATATATGAGAAATATTGCTGATTTCTGATTAAAAAAATTGAATATGTTACATGTATTGTGCAATTTCATCGTAATTTAACATTAATTTACATTTACATTCAAAGTCAATATATGTTCTTCCTCATTTTAACATAAAATTGATATTTAAGGAAATTTTCTATAATGCCACTTACTGCATAGAGTAACTTTCCAATCCTTTTTTCAGTAACGAAGCAATTCTAAATAAGTTTCTCCATTTTCAATTAAAATACAGAAAGAAACACTAGAGAAAAGGGAAGTGAAAGAAAATATAAAATTCGGTACATGTTGACTAACCTAAACGTTGCTTTATGCTTTATGATCCAGAAACATGTTATGCAGCTGCAGGAAGATTTATATAACCCCATTAATATTAAAAGATATTCCGATTTCTCATAAATGTGGAAGGACTTTTATTTAATGCAAACAAATATGTTTAAGTACAGACAGAGTGAAGTTCAGTAAGTAGTCTCTGTTCGTTAGATACCCTACCCTTATTTCCATAACACAAATATTCTTCCTCTTAAGGTTCAGTTGTTTATTGTGAACCTTAAAAGACTGAATTTCCCTGTTGCAGTAGGTGAGGACACCAATAAGAACCCTAATTTCTCGTATGCTGTAATTGCCAAGTGCAAGTCACAATTGCAGCGTCGGAGAGATTTAAAAATCAAAGCAAACAAATTTGAGGAGCATTCGCTATGTCCAACTCAATGCTGGCAAAGTGCGAACCGAGAAAATATTGGTTTCAGACACCCGCTACTACATTTTACATAGATGATTTATGCAGTATATATCAACTAAACGTTCAGATATACATGTAATAGTACATTTGATGAAAATGGCTCCTGATCCTACCTCTGATGTTTTGGAGGTCAGTGTTTGCTCTGCTCCTATTTTGTACTGTTTGATGGACTTTTGATCTTGAATACTGTTCGTCATTTCCATATATTTCACGCAATTATTAATGTTCAGTATGATTTTATGCAGAAGAGCTGCTTGTGAGATAGACACACAGTTTCGGATCCGGGAAATGAGAGGGGCAGTTTGGGGTCTGTTTGGGGCCCAGGGCCACACAAAAAATCATTTATTAAGTTTAATGTATTTATGGACGCAAAAGGGGGGACCCGACTCCCTGGCCCCTCTCAGTGACATGTATGCAATGAACAATCCAGTAACTGTTTTGGGTTACAACCGTTTAATATATTTTACTGTATATAAGCATTTTTGCAGTTTACATGTTTAACACAAATCATGTGTGTTTAAAATGATTTGAGTAAATATTTTTTGAATTGTTTATGATTTCCTATGTTTGTAATGGTTTAAAAGATTAAAACCGAGAGGGGGCGTTAAACAATAGTCAACCAAACAACAAACAATTGGGGGGGGGGGGGGGAACAAGCTAGACTAAGTTTGTTTACTGGTAGAATTCCAATGTTTAACCACGTATAAAAAAATGTTTAATAAATAAATAAGATTGATTGGTTCAGGTCTTTTTTATGTGCCTCAAACTTGTCAAAATGACCAGTTTTCGACAGCTCTCAACACACTGAAGCGATACTAGTAATATGATTGATTGGTTGTTGTTAAACGTCTTTATATGAAGTGTACATGTGCTTCTTCATTAGTGGGTGTATTTGTTGTAGTACAACAGTAGCTATATTTTAAACTTCCAATTTCTTTTCTCTGCAAACAATTACGAGTTTAAATTGACAGAAACAGATTGCTATGAATAACTACTGAAGTATATCTCAAAACAAAATGCTCTAAATGAACTAAATAATAATCTAATAAACAAACATTTTGCACTATTTGAGAAAGATATATAACACAAATTTATACTTTGGATTGATTGATTGCATATTGTTTAACGTCCCTCTCGAGAATTTTTCACTCATATGGAGACGCTACCACTTGCCGGTGGAGAGCTGCAAATTTTGTCCTATACTCGGCACTTAAGGCCATTGAGCAGGGAGGGATCTTTTTCTTGCCAGCACCTACTGCGACACGGGACCTCGTTTTATACGGTCTCATCCGAAGAACCGGTCTCCGCGTCCCACAGTGGGATTCGAACCCGCGACATAAGGATTGACTCCTAACTTTTCGACTCTAGAGCAGACGCTCTAACCACTGCGCCGCACGGGCGACGTAGTACTTTGGAAATTCAAACTAAGATTTTTATTCATTTTGCTTTTTTAGCTCACCTGATTCCCATGAGTCCTAGTTTTATTTAGAAATATATTGGAAAAATCATCTCCTCAAGCACCAGTGGGCCTAAAAGCTGATACTTAGGTGGAAGCGTCCTGGGGTAGTTTAGATTCTAAATTATAAAAAATTAAGATGGGAGGGGGTAGGGGGCAAACAATAGATGTAAGAGGAGGGGAAATCTGGTAAAGAATTGCATCACCAAAGCTACTCAGGTGTGCGATGTGGCCCATGGGACTCTTGTTTTATTTCATTATTATTGAAGTTTAAGTTTTATGTTTTTATTCCACATCATTTTGCAAATACAAGGAGATTTATGACATGTTTTGTTTCAAATAATTAAATGGTATGCAATAAAGACCATAAAAAAGAGCATCCTTTCCAGAACACCTAAATATGTATAACATTAACCTCATATGATTTCATACTAGCAAAATTAGGGCAACAGAAGAAAATCGAGATTAAATACTTTACAGTTTCTATCAATTAGACTTTTGTAATACTAAAAATGGATAACAAACGGGCAATAATGAAAAAAAAAGACAAGAAATGCACTGAAAAAAATTGAGATGCTATTGTTCAAATTCTACAAGAGTTGTTTGTGTATATTTAGCAACATTGTCCCAAATTCGACTCTTTTGCATTATCTCTAGAGTTTTCTTACTTGTGAAATTTTATTGATAAAGAAAATATTGAAAATAATTGAAAAATGAGGCATTTCCTGAAAAATACTCATTAGTCATTAGCAAAAAAATCAAATGCATTAAACATAAACACACATTATTATAGCAGAGATACAAAGTTGGGTATATAATAATACTAATTATTTTAATAGTTTAGGCTTTGCGTTACATATCTTTTAGTCCCTGAGTCAAAGCAATCCAGAACTCTTCTTGAATATCTTTATCATACTCCAAATATGTCTGTTCTATTATGATATCCTTTAGAAATTTCGGCAATACATCTCCAAAATCTTTGTCTGCAAGAATAATTCTTAAACTTGTTTCCCCTCCTCTATAAATACTTTCCATTCGAGCCATTTGAGCCTCGTATATACAAAATTCAGATTCTAAGAAAGCTTTACTAAGAAAACAGACAGTACCCTTGCTATTGTGAATAGCATTGGTAATATTTTCTGCTACGTTAACACCAATTATAAAGTCACGACTGTATCTGCAAAATTTAAAGTTGTTTTCTCTTTCAAGCTTCAAAAGGTTTGGTATAAACTCTGCTCTTTCACTTTCAGCATAAGAAATAAAAGCATCAAATTGATACTCTCTTCCTGAATCAAAGATCCTTGAATATCCACTATAACTTCTCTTACCAGCGTAATACAAGTATCGCAGTTTCCATCTATACCTATACATTATTGCAAAGGATATAAGAATAATTGTGACCAGTAAAATAATGGTTACTATGACTATTGTTGTTGTAAACGACGCACATTCAAGCTCTAAAGAAGAAAGTATTTTGTCCAAATTGCGCAAATGAATCCTTTTTCTATCTGTGAACATGCAAGTATAATTCTCTTTGTCAACAAAGTGTTTATTTAAAGAATCTTTCATCCATTTTAAGAATTCCCTGCTTTGGCATGTACATTGAAATGGGTTGCTTGACATCTGGATAAAGAGTTGTTTCTCTCTCGAAGCATCTAAGAAGTCCATTGATTTCGAATCCAAAATCAAAATTTTATTAGAAGATAAATCTATGCTACGCAATTTAAGGGCACCTGATAAATCAAATGTGACACTTTCTAAATCATTATTACTTAAGTTTAGGTGCTCAATATTTGACGCAAATATAAATATATCTTTATGCAAGTAGGTTATCCAGTTGAAGGACAGATCCAGAACCTTCAAACCACGGAGGTGATCAAAGACATGTTCCCCAGATTGACGCTTTAATTCCTTTCCTAAAAGATTTCTTGATAAGTTCAGGAATAACAGGTTTCCCATCCCCTGAAATGACTGTTTCGTAATGTTGAAGCAGAAATTATTTGAGAGATCAAGATATTCTAGACGCCAAAGTCCACTAAAATGTTGAATATCATATATCAGATTTCCCTGAATATGTACATGTGTTAATGAGTTCTTAGATGTTATACCGTACCTGTTATCTACTAATGGAATATACACTTTTTGATCAGCAATGCTAAGGAATTTTAGCTTCGGAGGTAATTGATAAGAAAAGAAAGTAGGTGTCACTCTATATTTCGTACCCTTCACAGTAGTAATTTCTCCCTCTTTAGTATCACAACTATTAGAATTATACTCACGACAATTTAAAGCAGCAAGTTCGCAGGAAACATTTCATTATTCGAATGTTTGCAGGAATTTGCAAGAACAGTAAACAAGTCAAATCAGCCAATGAAATGCAAGTTGGCCATTTTGAAATGTTTGAATTGAGGTTGCAGTTTCTAATTGGTAAGAATTGATTTTAGATTTTGAATATTTCTTAAATTTAAAAGGTAAATGCATCCTGTCTCACGGATAGGCTTTTTGATTGAATGGTCAATGTCTAACCTTTCCAAGTTCGATAAAAAGTCGCCTTCATATATATAAACCCCAAAAATCAGCGGGTTGTCACTGATATTAACATACTTTAATGTGTTAGGAAGGAAACTTACAAGCATATGTTCAATTATTCCTATTCTATTACTTCTCAAAGACAACTCCTTTAGAGAAGTATTTCTAAGATATTTGATATGATTTAATCTTAATATCAGCGAAACTCCGTTCGCACATTAAATCCAATTTGCGATAAGCGTGTTGATCTTTGAATATTGTAGATCATGAGTAATATTGGATAACACAGATAATGTTAGGTCTTGGTTAGTTGAAATATCCAGAAATTCCAGATCGATCAACTGCTCAAAGGCTCCCTTCTCTATGTATTTGATATTACAAGAAGATAATTGTAAATGTTTTAATTTTCGGAATACATTGAATGTGTCATTCTCGATGCTATTCAGAACACAGAGACCACCATGTAGCGCAAGTACAAGTATTTCAATCGAATTATTTTGTTCAAATGCGTCCTCAAAGTTATGGCCACCTAATCCATTTACCTCGATATGCCTCAATGACGAAAGTCCGTAAAAGCTCTCATTGGAGTATTTCATCTCCTTGATCTCACTTTCAGGGATTTCTGAACAATTATCCTTCATGAGCAGACTATCAAGTTTTCTAAGGTTCTCAAAAAAGCGTGACGGCCATTCCTTATATCCTTTCCATAAGCAATTTTCTTCAATATTTAGCCATCTTAGCTGTTTATATTTTGACAGACTTGACTTTTTTGGATATCGGATATTATTATCGCTTATATCTAGCCGCACGATCGATTGCGGCATATCAGTAGGTATTTCCGTAAGATTATTGTTGTTAAGATATATGCATCTAACATTTTGTTGGAATTTTGGAGAGTGAGTCAGGTTTAGCGAGCTGCAATCCACACTCAGCATCCCTCTTTCGTAATAACATCTACAACTTGGCTCTGAAGAGCAGCTTAGTTGTAATGACTGCCTCAAAAATGTTAAAATGATGTAGAACAGTAGAGTTGCAACGGGACTCATTCTCCTTAATATAATATTTGTCGATCCTTCGTCTGCAGAGAAAAAAGGGAGAAAATTGACTAACATAGAATGAAGAAATCTATTTCTGGTTTGAGATTAAGAAATATAGACCCTGGTTGATATATTTCCAGATGGTTTGAAAGATTTATTTCAAGTAAAGTGTATCAAGAACAAAAATGTAGATTCAATGTCTATTGCCTTAGAAATTTATTACTTTAAAATCAAATATTTTCGTGGGTTCAAATGTTCATGGTTTGAGGAAAGTCTTGATTCGGGGGATTAGCTAAAGTAGATGAAGAATTTTTTAGTAGTTATGTAACATTTTAAATTTTGTGGTGGATATGAATTCATGGGTCTCTTTATTCCTCGAAAACAGCGAAAATAAACCCCTCGAGATATTTGTGATTTCACAGTATGTTAAAGTACATTAATCTTTTAATTGTATCATACAAAGCAACTTAAAATGCTGGGATGATTTCGAATATTTAACACTTTATTTGATCAAACATATCATTATACCACATTATAATTATTCTACACAACGCGTTACCTAATTGGTTCTAGATTATCACGTGATTGGGCCATAAAACCTCATATTTCACGGTTGTCGGCATGCTTTTCATCATATTATACCTTTTTGGATACCTATTGCATATTCCAGCAATAGTTATCGTTCGTTGAAAGAAAACTCCTGAGAGTAGTAGACGTCACAATAGCCTGGTTTACATTACAAAATTAATGATAAGTGATGTGTCAAAGGGCTTCAATAATATTACCTTAAAGATGAAAGTAAATTTGAGAGCAATGCCGAATTTGAAAGTTTATGTTCAAAGTTTTTGCATATATCGGTATAATAAATAATTCACTGCATGAATGTTTGGGAAAGATGAGGATTTATGTCGAAGTCCTCGGGGAAATTGATATTTCTCGGCTGAATAAAACTTAAAATTTCCCTCATTATCATGCAACAATGTATGTTATTCTTTAACATGTTAATTAATCGTCTCATGAAGATAATCACACAATGAATTTAAAATAAAAAACGGCATAAAAATCAAATTCATATGTCTTACCTGTTTGTAATGCTTCTTGTATATTATAAGCAAAGATGCCAATGAAATTTACAGTCCATTTTAATGCGAATCAGATATACAATGCATTTTGATAATCATGAATCTATTAAGTATACTTTTTTTTTTTTACAATCGGTTTATAAAATTTAATGTTAAAATGAAAAAGAGGCCGCTTAATTATCCGTCCAAAGCCTACTTACAGGGGTTGAATTTCTGTATCCTTTGTGTTCCAACCAGGAAGTTGGCATTTATTGAGTTGTTCATTTGCTGAAAAGAAGACGTATTGTAAGACATGAATTACTAGTATCGTGTTATGAATTGTATAAGAAAAACATTTCTTCGAACTTCAATATCTAATTCTGTAATTACATAGCTAGATGAATACAAATTGAGCAAAAGATGTATCTCTACAAGGCTAGTACAATAATTTGATATGAGCTGGAGGGAATGGTCTTTATATCTATGTATATAAATTGGACCCATTCCCTTATCAAGATTTAAAAACCTTATACATGTATTATTTTTTCTATGTATTTCAAATGTCTACTTTAAAATTGTTTTTCCATTTCTTGGGGATTGAATGCCGTCTTTGAAATTGATTGTAAAGTTTTTAAGTTCCATCTAAATTAAAAGGGATTGTGTTTCGCCTTTTTAGCTGTCGTGTCAAAGGCTCTGGAAGTAGCTGCGATACTGTTCAAGGTATTAAGAAATTCCCTCGTAGGACACAAATACTCTTAATTACGGCTTAGTATCTCGGTCTTACGACTTAGTATCTTGACATAGTCAAAATAGCAAGATCTCACGCATCTGCACGTGCACTTCGTTTTGATTGGCTGAAACTAAAGTCTTACTATCTTTCTCGTTTTTTGACAAAATCCTTTAAAATTTTGAATATGGTCATACATTATGAAGATCTACAGCATGATATATAAAAATTTTCATGAAAGCATGTGCATGCACGTGTGCTGCAATCTGATTGGCTGAAACTTTAAATGCCTATCACTTTCTTAGTTTTCAACAGAAAAGGATGAAATTTAGAACATGAATAGGTACAATGAATTCCTACATTATTGTACTATAAACATTGAATGCACGAACATGGTTCCATGCACACACACGCATGAAATACGCAAAATGACAAATATATTTAAAAACAGTAGCGTGTATATTTTAAAGATTCTTTTTATTGATTCTCACGATACATAGATATGTGAATTGTTTAGACACGTGCCAAGATCACCTTGCATGTGCATGCACATACAATGCGTTAAATGACTTGCAGTTGATATCATTTCAGCTTTTATAATTTTTTTAATGAAATCTTTCGATACTGATAATATTTTTTTAAAAAATGTCTTACAGGACTTAGGCACAAAAAGGGAGTTGGGGAACGTTTGGGGAACATCTGTAACGGTCCCCGTTACAATTAACACTAGTTTTCTTCTGTATTCATTCAACGTATCTTAAGGTGTCAATACAACATCTAAATCACACTGAACTGCCATCCGGTGCGCCGTAACGTCATCAAACGTCGCCATTTTGCGTGTGGTATGTTTACCACTTTCCCATTTCGAATATTCGGGAAACTGCCAAAAATTAACTAAATGCCTTGAATTTTTGTAAAGACAACAAAATTGATTTTGGAATCAAATTAAGGTAATCTTTATCTCAGTGTTATGTGTTTAAAAAACTTTTATTCCGAATTAATACGTGTGTATTCTCTAGTATAACCTTGGTCTTTTGACCATGCGCAGTAGGACCGTACCCTTTGCACATTCAAATATAATAAAACCTTTATTTTTATTCAATATATTATCAAAAAATTATGATGCACTTAAATATGATCAATAAACATTTACTGAAAATTTCAGCTTAGTGCACCCATTACTTTTCGAGAAAAACGCTTTGTCCACGATTTTACCGGACAGCCCTCATATTTACACAAATTCTATATCTGATTAAAATTAAAAGTCTTGCATGTTTAAATGCTTTTCCTAAACAATTTATATTTGTCATAAAGTACAAAGCAGATATCTACATACAATAATATTCAGAAGTACAAGGAACACTGCAATGGCAAAAAAGTGATACAAGTGTGTTTGCTTTATTGTTAGAACTTCAAAGTATTTGGGACTTGACATTAAAAACTTACATATATTGTATGGCACCGATGGATGCAAACAAAATGATTATTCAATTGACCTGACTGCCAAATAAAAGTCTAAAGTTTAAGTCTCTCATCAGTATCCTTTGATGATAAATAAGAAAACCTATAGAGTAGTTAGAGTTATGGTATTAGGGGAACTAAAATTATCAAAAACAAGAAATGATTGGAGGTTGAATAACATAACTTAAAATACCTTATTCAGGGTTCTCCACATTTGAAAATTTAACCATGGAGGAAGCTGCGCGATGGCGAAATGTAGCCGAAAACACTAATGCATCTTAGACTTCCTAATCTTTATTAATCAAGGATTGGTTTTACAATTTGTAAACTTACCCATTGCAATACAAAAACAATGAAATAACTAACACTTTTTAAAGTTAAAAAAAAATTAAATTGAAAAGGATTTATCCTGTATCTTACTTCACAAATGTACCAAAATTTGCCCGAAACTGTAGTAACCTTCTGAAGGAATTTAAAGAAAAAAAATGTTGATACAGGTAGCCAGTAACCATGACATTAGATTAATAATTATAAGAATTGTAGCCTGTTGTATGAAATGTTTTGTTTCAATATGACTAAAACTGATGAATGGGTAGTGTTTTTTTAAAGTTAACACACAAAAGAACATTTGGACTTAGTGTACTTTTTTTTCTAAACTTTTTTTTTTACCAGATATTGCATTAATCACCCACTTTTGTTTACTTCTCCACGTGCTCAGAGCTAAAAATAGCGCCACACGACGTTTCATAACAACGGGAAGTAACTCTAACACTAAGACGGCGATTTAGACACAGGCCTTATGCACATTTTGTCAAAAAGATAATAAAGTTAAAGCTTAAAAAACGAGCATGGGGAATTTATTAAATACAGAGGAATGAAACTGAAACAAAATAACAACAATTAAAACTTTTTACCGAATATTTTTTTTTTACAGTTACACAGAAACTTGAATCGCAAACAAAAGATTATTGTGTTCGTACACCGTACCGGTATTGTAATTTTTTTTTATACCTTATATAGCTAATCATGAAGTGAACATGTTTCTTAGCAAAAATAACGAAAGTATTATTTTGACAATTATTATCTCAAATTTGCAGCAAAACAGCCACTAGGATTTAGACACAGGCCTTATGCATACAATTTTGTCAAAAAATAATAAAGTTAAAGCTTAAAAAACGAGCATGGGGAATTTATTAAGTACAGAGGAATATGAAGTTTTTACCGACTATTTTTTTGTTCAGGCACAGAAACTTGAATCGCAAACATAACGATTATGTGTACCGTACCGGTATTGCAAAACTTATATAGCTAATCATTGTTCATGTAGATAGGCAACTTTATGTCATTTCCTCTGAGATTCTATATTTTTGCACACATTTTAAGCATTTGGATCTTATAAATTCTCATACTCCCGATTTACCTGGCAAAAATTTTTCAGGTTGCCTAATTGTGTATAAATCTATATGAAATATTGTTGAGTTCTGAATAAAAAGAATGAATATGTTATATGTATTGTGCAATTTCATCGTAATTTAACATTTATTTACATTAACATGCAAAGTTAATATGATATGTTCTTCCTCATTTCAAAATTAAATTGAGCATTCGGGAAATGTTCCATTATGCTTGCCACCTACTGCATAGGGTTACAATGTACTTTCTCATCCTTTTTTTCAGTAAAGAAGCAGTTCTTAATAACTTTTCCCATTTTAATGAAAATAAAAAAAAACATTAGAGAAAAGGGAAGTGAAAGAAAATATTCGGTAAATGTTTTCTAATTTAGACGTTGCTTTATGCTTTATGATCCAGAAACATGTTATGAAGGAAGATTTATGTAGTCTCTGAGTCATCAATTTTAAAAGAAAAAATAAATTTCAGCGTCTTTCGCTTTTTTAAAAACAATTCGGAATAACCATTCGAATATGGTTCATAAAATATTCCGATTTCTCTTAAATGTGGAAGGTTTTATAGAAACAAGAAAATATTGGTTTCAGACACCCGCTACATTGTACTACTTTTTACACCGATGATATATGCAGTATATATCAACTAAACGTTCAGATAAAATAGTATTTATGTACAATCGCCAAACCAAATGAATTAAACGTTCAGAATTAATAGTATATATGATAAAAATGGCACCTGATCCAACCTCTGATGTTTTAGAGGTCAGTGTTTGCTCTGCTCCTAATTTGTTTGTTTGATGGACTTTTGAGCTTGAATACTGTTCATTTCCATATATTTCACGCAATAACTGTAGAAGTACTTTTTTCCGCGTGGTATTAATTTACGCTATGTACGCGCTCACAATTTTTCCGCGGAAATTTGTCCAAGTGTCCTTAATATAAATGTAAAGCATATATAGTGACAATCTAGAAAATCCGCGTAAATTTCTTCCAATGGATTAAACAGAAATTGTTATTCCGCGGAATTATGACCCCGTGGAAAAAAAGTACGTCTACAGAATTAATATTCAGTATGATTTGCTTTGAAGAGCTGTTTGTGAGTTAGACACACAGTTTCGGATCCGGGAAATGAGAGGGGCAGTTTGGAGTCTGTTAGAGACCCGGGGTCACACTAAAATTGATTTATTAAGGGTCCTCCTCACCATGTGACTTGTGACATATATAGAGAAAAAATACTTTTACTTCCGGTTTTACCTAATTTTTGCAGTGATGATTTGGCCTGGGACCGCTTGTAAGAGAGTCTTACAAACGCTTTAGAGATAAAGGTTTTGCTAAGAGAAAAGTATGCAGTACACTGAGAGCGACACCCTAATTATAAACAATGAACACATATCACATGACTGATGGAAAAAGATGTGCGGGTTTTGTTTGTTTTTTTTCCAAATAAAAGAACAACAGATGCCTGGGATTATTGTCACAGATGTTATATTTTAAAGTAATCTTGTCATTGGCACGCATTGCCAATTAAACACGTTCGCTGCGTTTGTTTGTTGTGTGTCTGGTGTGAATGTTTTGAGAGATCATGTGACAATGGTTATTCTTGTATTTATATGTGTTTCCGGTTTGGTGACCTGACGTGACCTTACTGTTGACCAATAACTGACCGTTTTCACCTCATT